GGAGTCCAGGCCCCCAGCCCCTCCTCCCCCAGCCCCGGGAGTCCAGGTCCCCAGCCCCTCCTCCCCCAGACTCGGGAGTCCAGGCCCCCAGCCCCTCCTCCCCCACCCCCGGGAGTCCAGGCCCCCAGCCCCTCCTCCCCCAGCCCCGGGAGTCCAGGCCCCCAGCCCCTCCTCCTTCAGACCCGGGATCCCTCGCCTTCAGCCGCCTCCTGGCGCGCCGACCCAGGACTACATAACTTATCGCATCCTTCTCTAAGCACCTGAGGGGTTTTGAGGGTTCTGGTTTGTAGACCCAGAAGTTTTGCGGGACGGACGTCAATTGGGGGCCTCTGTGAACGCGTGGAGAGGCTAGAGGGACAGGTCGCGTTCACTCCTCCTTTACCTGCTCTGCCAGGAACATGGTGCAGGGGCATTGCCCTCCCCCTCCCCGTACAGGACTCTCGCGATTCGGGGGCGGGGTGGAGGAGGGAAACCGGTGCAGGGTGAGTTGCGGGGTCTTAAAAAAACCATTAGTTTTAGACCCATAAGAAACAAACTCCTGTTAGACATTGACGGTGTCCACCCCATTTCCGCTTCTCATGTCAGGGCGAGGGGGCTGGTGTCTATAAATCCATCCGCTCTGGGGTGGCCCAGCGTCCCCTCCCCCGCCCGGGGTGGAGGGGCTGGGGAAGGAAGCACCCACTGCGCATGCCTCGCAGCCCGGGATGCTGAGGCTGTGAGCGGAGGCGAGCGTCGAGGACAGGTGATGGAGAGGCTTGCACGCGCAACCCTAGACGCAGGCCTCCAGCCGCGGCAGGAGCCCGGGCCCCTGGGGTCCAGCACTTACCACGTTGAATCAGGGGTCCGCCGGTCGGATCCTGGGGGCCAAACCGGAGTTCACCCCCGCCCCCCGATTTTGAGTGCCGGCCCCAAATCTCCCGCTTCCATATGTCCAATCCCAGTGCAAGGAGTCCGGGTCGACAGCCCTTTGGATTCCTGCCCACCCCTAGATCACCGTCACCCAGAAACCCCGATTCCCGTCTCGCGTGTCCCTAGCCGGGTATTCGGGTCCCGGGTTTTATCCCCGCCTCCTTCCAATCCCCGCGTTCTATCCCCGCCCCCTTCGATCACGGCGTCCAATCCCCTCTGTCCGTTCGATCCCTAGCCCTCCGTCTCCTTTTACCCGGCCAGATTCTCCACCATTTGGCGGCTTGCATTCTATGCAGCTTGTTCGGAATCTGGGTTCCTGGGCTCCCCACTCAGCGCATTGTCTCTTATTCTCCTGTCTCTTGGGGGAACAAGGCTCAGCTGGGAGGTCGCAGCCCACCCCTCGTGCATCCTTAATGTCTAGCGCATAGGGTGCCAGAGCAAATCTCAGCTCTTTCACGCCAGGGAGGGAGGAGGGATGTTTGGAGGTCGGGTCGGCCCCCCAAAACCACCCACAGAAAGTGCATGCATTGAGTTGGCAAGAAGGAGGCGCTCCCGGGCACAGCAACTCACGCCTGTAATCCCATCACTTTGGGAGGCCGAGGCGGGTGGATCACGAGGTCAGGAGTTCAAGACCAGCCTGGCCAACATAGTGAAACCCCGTCTCTACTAAAAACACAAAAACTAGCCGGGCATAGCGGCACACAGCTGTAGTCCCAGCTACTCAGGAGGCTGAGGCAGGAGAATCGCTGGAACCTGGGAGGCGGAGGTTGTGGTGAGCCAAGATCCTCCCACTGCACTCCAGCCTGGGCAACAGAGAGACTTCACCTCAAAAAAAAAAAAAAAAAAAGGAGAAATAAAAAGAGGCACTACAGCGGATTGGATTCAAGTTAGACAGTCAGTGGGACTTCCGTGAGGGAGAAGCAGCATAGAAAATAGAGAAGGGTGTATGAGAGACCCAGCCCCGACTGAGAGGCCGAAATAGGTACAGAGAAGCAGGGACTGAAACGCGGAATGCTTGTTTATTCAGCTCCGCTCGACAGTGTTCTTTGTGCAGCCTGGTCCTTCTGCTCCTGGGTCCAACACAGTCACAGCCTGGGGAGGGACTGGGGAAGACAGTCTCAGAAGCTGGTGTTAGGGGAGAAGAAAGGTGGGGTAGAAGTGCCAATATACAGACAGGCAAACTGAAGCCGAGGAGGTGACCAGCTGTGCCTGAGGTCACCCAACGAGCTGGGCATTGTGCTGGCCCCCTCGCTGCAGGCTGACGTCCTGGGAGCTGGTCCGGGCTTCTGCCTTGCGTCACCGCCGCCGGCGCCCATAGCTGTAGGGGTCCTGAGGCTCGCGGCTGGACTTTCCCGAGGGCTCCTTGGCGGAGGCAGAGCGAATCCAGTGTATGATCTCCAGCAGGCGGTGAGTCCGGCGTACGCCCAGGGACCAGACGTGCTCATGGTGCTGGAGGGCGTCCTGGTGCTGGCCTCGCCTGGATCGGGAGTGTGGGAGAAAACGGGGTTCAAACTGAATCGAGAGATGGGGCGTGGTGGAGGCGGGCACATAACACTCCAAGACCAGCGGGGCACGCTTACAAATCACCTGCCTGTTCCACAGGAGGAAACCATGGCGGGAGGGTGCACGAGCCCTTTATGGTCTCCCTCCTGCCCTGTCCCCCTGCTACTGGCCTTTCTCACCTGGCCGCAGAGTCCGGGTCCCCTTGGGCAGAGAAAGCGAGGAGCAACAGCAGGAGGAGGATGTGGGCAGTCATCATGGGCAAGGCGGGTCAGGATCTGTGGTCTGGATTTGCAGCCACCCCACCCCGCTCCCGTGCCGGCTGATTGTCTGTGCAGCTCTAGAGCAAGGAAACTGGGCTGGTCCCCACTTCTCAGGCGGGGAATACAGAGGCCAAAAATCTGAGAAGAGCCCGTCCCACGCCAGAGGGGCAGGATTTGAACCCAGGTCCCTACCTCCCACACTGCAGCTCTGGGGCCCTCACTGGGTGTGCCGGTCATACCAGAGCTGTCTATGCCCCGGGAGGCCTGTGGAGTCCTGCTGCCTTTAAAGCCTGGGAAATAGGGTGGGGCCAACGACACCCGCAGGTAGCTAAGCAGCTGGCTTCCACGAAAATAGGTGAGGGCGGGGAAGCACCAGCTCCACGTGTAGATGCAACCTCACTCTCACCCTGTCAGGAAGCCATTTAGTAGACAGTAGACCCTGGAACCTCAGGGGACAGGCAATGCAGGGTGAGTGCAGATGCCACCCCCGTGGAGCAGGGGAGACCCCCAGCGCACCAGCAGAGCCAGCGCCCTCTGGAGAGGAAAGGCTGAGGGCTGCAATTGCACTGAAGCAGGTGTAGCCAGGGCTGTCAACGTGGAAGGGGTCCTGGGTCAACCAGGTCATGTGCAGTGTCATGGGGGACCCAGAACCCTGTGGCCAGCCCCCGAGTGGAAGGGTGGGCGCAGACACCATGGCCGCAGCAGAGAGGCCTCGTCTTCGCCTCTGGAGGATGGGCAGGCCTTGCCACCTTACAGCTGCGACTCCAACTCCCCAGTCCTAAGCCCCAAGCCATTCTAGGGCAGGAAGCAGGGCCACACAGCTACGAGGAATTCTGTCCTCCTCAGCAGACACCTCCAACCCACTCAGTGTCCCTGGCTGCGGAGGGCGGAGCACAGTCAGCCCTAGCTGGCCTTGGAGGGTCCCAAACAGGAACAATGTGAGTGCTGGGGGGAGGTGGGCAGGCTGTTCTGGGAAACTTGAGGGGCAGCTGTGCTGGAAAGCCACCCCCATCCCCCGCCAGGCAGGAGGTTCAGGGGCACTGCGGGGGGGGGGTGCAGCCCCAGGAGAGGGATGAAAGAGTTGAAGACCCTGAGAGAGCTGTGGAGGGCAGGGACCCCAAGAGGGGACCAAGGAAGGGGAGCAAGAGGCCTAGAGACGAGGGAGGAGAGACGCAGATCCACAGAATGGCAGCCAGCAGCAGGCGCCGAAGCCGATCCCCCACTGCTCAGGCTGGCACCTTAGCACCTGCAAAGGGAACCCCAACCCGCTTTGCCCCCAGGAAGCAGAGCCAGACCCCAGCTGAGGATTTATTGGAGTAAATGCAACCATATAAAAACATAAGTTATGAAAAACACAGTCACAATGTACCCTCCCCATCCCCCCGGCCCAGGCCCCTAAAACCCTCTTCTTCGGGAGGGAGAGGAAAGGGGAGCCCCAAAACCGCCTAGGAACGCTAAGCCCCTGGGCCCGTGCAGGGCGGGGAGAGCCAGGCCTCAGCGCATCCGGTAGTCGGTGGAGCAGGACAGCTCGCACAGCTGGCCCTTGAAGTCCAAGTCGATGGTGAAGTCCAGGTCTCGCTGTGGGAGAGGGGGGCGTGAGGGCGGAACCGTCAGGAGGTGGTGGCAGGGGCTGCAGACAAGACACGTGACGACACGCCCTCCCCGAGACCCAGCCGGGCTCCAGCTTCCTGCCCATCTCCATGCTGCAGACCCCAACTGCTGGTCCCACCCGAGCAGCTGACCTGACTCTGGCAAGCGACAGCTCCACGTGGACACCCTCAAGCCCACTAGGCTCACCTGACACAGAGCCCGGCTGCTGTCCCTTGCCTTTGGGTTTCCCCATCAAGACGATTCCCATCAGCAATGGAGTGATTTCTTTCATAAAAAAGAGAACCTTTCCCAAGCCCACTTCCTCCTCAGCAAACATTACGGTGAAACGAAGTGGTCCAGCCTGCTGTCTCCCCTCCTCTACTCCCAGCCTTCCTGGAGACCCCCCATACCCTCCAGCACGTGAAGACGACTTGTGGCCGATGGTCCGGAGGCTGCCTCCTGCCTCTCCGGTGTCTTTCCCAGCTAGCACCACGGTCCCTTGGGGGCCGCATGAGTCTTTGTAGGGGGCAGTCGTGTGGATGTAGGACGTTTACCACCCCCTCCGTCCCTACCCACCAGATGCCAGGAGCACCCCTTCTGCCAGGTGACAACCACAAGTGTCTACAGATGGTGACAAACGTTCTCTGTGGGGAACCCACCCAGTTGAGAATTACTGCTGTCACGGGCTCAGGAGCGTCCAGGGGTCCACACTCTGTGACTGACCTGAGTGCCACCTGGCCTGGCACCCATGGGCCGGGACCCACACTTCTAGCCCAGACCACTCCCTGAGACTCCAGGCTGCAGGTCTTCCATCCTCCGGCCTGCTCAGACCTGCCACACTGGACCTCTGCCTAGACCCACTCTCCTGGAAGCCCCCGCAGCTCCCCCGAAAGCCCCCTGGTCTTAGGTGATGGCAGCTCCTGCCAGGTGCTCAGGAGGAAAAAGAAAGGGGATGGGAAAACAAACCAAAAAGCTGCCTTTTTCCTCAGGCCTCACACTGGGCGAGGAAACCCAGTGCACTCAACTGGGGACCGCCGCTTGCCCTGAAGCCCACCCACGCCAACACCTGTCTGCCCTGCTCCCAGCCTGAGAGGTCAGCTCCGACTGGCGGCTCCATATCACTGATCCCCTTGTCTAGAGTGGAAGCACCAGGAGGGCAAGGGTTTGGCCTGGGTCCCCAGGCCCAGCTTCCAGTAAATGCTCAAGAAATCCTGCTGTGTAGACAGGCATGGGGCTGAGGGGCTCAGGGACCTGGGAACAGGCAGAGGCACCCGCTCCCCCCCCCCCCTCTGCCCCCATCTGCCCCCATCCGCCCCAGCTGCCCCCATCCGCCCCAGCTGCCCCCATCCCCCGCCCTCCCCGGCCCTGCCCGGGAGCCTCACATTGTTCTTGGCGTTGGGCCGCATGCCGATGGTGCCAAAGATCTCCTCACCCGTCTTCACGGTCAGGTAGTCCTCCATGTAGAACACCGTCTGCTTCCAGTGCGTGTACGGGGACTCCGGGCCTGCGGGCACGGCCGGGTCAGCCAGCCTCAGCCTGCTGGCCCCACCCCAGCCTTGGCCTCCCGTTCCCTCTGCTGGAATGCCCACCCCCATGACAGCTGACGGGAGTGCAGTTCGTGAGTCACTTCCCTGTCACTGAGGTTTGGAGACAGGAACTGTGTCAGCCTTCTGTGGACGAGGAAACTGACGCCCAAGGCCACGTGACGGCTACATGGCAGAGTTTGCGCTGGAACACGCGTGTCCCCATGGCTCTCTGCCCGTTTCTGTCCCCCCTCCCCTACGTGGGTGCCCCTGGCTCAGGGACAGCCCCAGCCCTGCCCGCCCCGCCTCACTGGTGGAGAAGCCGGTCCTCTTGTGGCAGCGTGTGAACTCGATGTTGAAGTAGGCCACCAGGGCGTGCACATAGTCATTCCGCTTCACTTGCAGGCAGAACGGGGAAGTGAAGGTCAGGTCTTCCACCTTGACAGTGTAGATGTCCACCTCCTGCAGGACAGGAGACAGCGAGCTCCAGGATGTGTCCCCAGCCCGAGTCATGCCCTCCTCCCTCCCTCAGCTCCCGAGGGCCTGTGACCCTGCTGTCCCCTTCCTGCTGGCCCTCCCTCACCGGCACCCAGCCTTGGCTCCTCACTCATTCCTCATTCTGCCTGTCTGGCTCCCAACAAGCCGCTGGGTTCAAGCCCGGATTCCTTGCCCCCTTCTCTCCCACACCCAAACCTGGCACTCTACCCTACCTCTGTCCAGAGCCCCCTCAGCCCTGACCCCACCATCAGACCTCCTGGAATGCAGGTCCCCAACTCTGCCCTCTCCCCAACCCCTTGACAAGTCCACCAAGGTGGTGACTTCAAATGGCAACCCAAACGCCAACCTCAAACCCTGCACCAGCTCCCCGGCTCTCAGGAGGGTGGCCCCAGTGGGGTCCCTGCCCCTCCAGTCTCCTCTCCTCCCCCCCTTAACAGCTCCCTCCTCCCCGACAGGAACCCCAGCCAGCCACCCAGCTTCACCCAGCTTGAACATCCCAGTTCAACAAATACTTGCTATTGCCAGGTCTCAGAAGTAAAAAAAGTAAAAAAGAAAACACTGGCCCAGGCTGGAGTGGTGACGCGATCACAGCTCACTGCGGCCCAAGCGATCCTCCCGCCCAGCCTCCCGGGCAGCTGGGACCACAGGCGCATCTCAGAGCCTGCCCGGCCCCCTGGGCTCCTCTGCAGTGGCCCATGTGCCTGTGCACCCGCTCATCGCCCTGGCGTCCTGCCTTCCCATGCACAGGTCTCACTGGGCTTTAGCTGCTGGCTTCGGAGGAGGAGGCAGGACCAGGCCGCCTCACCGCCGGACACCAAGTGCCAAGCCTGGCTCTCCCACAGCAATGTTCACCAAGATATTTAAAGGACGAAGTGGCTTTTCTGGGCCTCTAGCACCCCTCTGGCTGGCAGGTCAGGCTCTGAGACCTCAGGCCAACGCTCTGGGCCCCAAAGCCCCGCGCCAGGGCCAGGTGATGGCCTCTCTTCAGTTTCAACGTAGGCAGCACCTGGCATGCCCACCCCCTCACCTTTATGAGGCAAGCGTTGGTGACCAGCTGTTTTGGGTCCACCACGTCCACTAGGGGCTCCTTGATGGCCACATCTTTGATGCAAGACATGTCGAAGCCATACACATTCTCCCACCCTGGGGAGGCAGGCAGGGAGGGGGGTGAGCCCGCAGCAGCCCACCCACGGCCCCACCTGCCAGCTCCCGGGCACGCACTCACAGTGGATCTTGTAGTCTTTGTACTGCCGGTCCTCGATGGCCGTCACATACAGTGTAGCTCGGTCTGGGAAGATGAGGCCATCAGGCGCCTGCAGAGGGGGCAGGGTGAGGGTGGGGCCTGGCAACACTGCCCCTAGTTTTGCCTCAAGACGTGGCCTCCTGCCCTGGTCTCGGCCACCTTCACGATGCAGCTGCACTCACCCCCACACCCCCTGGTCTATTTCCCACACGGCCGGCCACCAGAGGACTCTCAGGCACATCTCAGTCAGCTCCTGTCCCTCGGAGGCTCTGGGGATCCTCAGACCCTCCCTGGCTGCTCTGAGAGGAAAAGCAAAGCCGCACCATCTCCCTGCCATCGTCTAGCTCCGGGGCCTGTCACACCTGGCTCCGGCTGTGGCCTCTAACACCTGGCAGCCAGCCCCCACAGTAGTCCCATCTGTGGGAAAAATTGAGCATGGTTTTCATCTTCTGCCTGGACCCCAGCCCACACGAGCGGCGCCCGTCCCGCTGGGGGCCTCACCAGCCACTTGTCCCGGGCGTAGAGCACGGTGTTGAGCATGGACTCGTAGAAGAGGCAGTAGCCCATCCACTCGCTGATGATGATGTCCACCTTCTCCACCGGGAGCTCCACCTCCTCCACCTTCCCCTTGATGATGGTCACCACTGTAGGCAGACAAGGGCGGCCACATCAGTCCCCAGGAGGCCTGCCCCTTTCCTCCCCCAGGGTCTAGAGCCTGGGGACCCCACTGGGTTCAGAGAACTTGTGAGCGGAAGCCACAAACCCTCTTTTTTTTTTTTTTTTTTTTGAGATGGAGTCTTTCTGTCGCCCAGGCTGTAGTGCAATGGCACCATCTCGGTTCACAGCATCCTTCACTGCCTAAGTTCAAGAGATTCCCCTGCCTCAGCCTCCTGAGTCGCTGGTACTACAGGCGTGCGCCACCACACCCACCTAATTTTTTTTGTATTTTTCTGTAGAGATGGGATTTTACCATGTTGGCCAGGATGGTCTCAAACTCCTGATCTCGTGATCTGCCCGCCTCAGCCTCCCAAAGTGCTGAGATTACAGGTGTGAGCCACCTCGCCTGGCCGCCACAAACCCTCTTAACTCTGTTTTAAAATTCACACGTCGCTCTGGACATTTTTTGAGGCAGGAGCAGAAATTTTATGTGAGCTGGGTATCAGGCAATGTTAGATTTTGTTTTCAACTGGGTGGGCTTGAGATAATAAGTAACAGCATGGTGAT